CCCATCCCACACCTCCTTCCCCAATTCCCCCCATCCCACACCTCCTTCCCCAAATTCCCCCCCATGCCACAGCTGTGTCCCCATTGTGCAGCTCTCACACCCTTCCCATTTTACACCCCGTTCTCTCTCCCCACCACCCACCAGCCCCGTGCAGAGCTGCTGCCGGAGGCTCCCAACACTCCCGGCAGCTCCAGGTGGCCCCAGTGCCAGCAGGTGCCCCCTCACTGCAGGCGTGCCCGGCCCTGCCACCCCCAGTGTCCCTGTGCACCCTCCCGTGTGCCAGCAGGTCCCTGCAGGGATGAGCCCCCTCCCCGGGGTGTGGGGGGGTTCCAGCACCCCCGTGGTGCCGCAGGGACTGGCAGGGACAGCACACACGTGCTGGGGACAGAGCTGGGACATCCCAGGATGTGCCAAGAGCGGCTTCCCGCCCCGTGGGGGTGACAGGGCAGTGCTCCCCACCATGGTGGCAGGCCAGCTGGCCGTGTGCACGGCAGATGTCACCCCAGCCACCCTCTGCCGCTCCGGCCCCCGGCACCTGGTGCCCAGCGGCCATCTGGAGCCCGCCACATCCCCGGAGACGATGCTCAGCCGCGGTCACTGCCCTCCAGGCCGGGACTGTGGGGCTGCAGGCTGCTCCCGGGGCCGGGAGGAGCCGTGGGGACTCTCCCGGAGAGAGGGAAGGAGCAGCTCCCCGTCTGCATCGGAGAGGGGACAGTCCAGATGTGCCCTCACAGCTGGGAGCAGAACCCGAGAGCCGGCTGCAGCACAGCCCTGCCCACCCACAGACCCCCGGCCTCGGCTGCTGCCATGGCCCCCGGGGCACTGCGCTGTCCCCAAGCTGCCACCACGGCTTCCCAGGTCCCTCCCCGCAGCCCGCACCAGCAGGAGGCTTTTCCGCCTGCCCTCCCCGCCTTGCTCAGCTCGGTGATTAATTATGGATCCAGCAGAAAGCTTTTATTGCGCTGGAGTTTACTTGTGGCACATCCGTATTTATTAAAGAAAAAAAAATAAAAGGAAAGTAATTATTGGGGTGGTGTAAACACCACAAACACTCTGCTGGGCTGTGGGAATGCTCAGGGTGACTGCGAGCTCATCCCAAGGCTCTGTGGTGGGGTGGGGTGGGATGGGATGGGATGGGATGGGATGGGATGGGA